TCCTTTCTAGAAATGTTTGATCCTTTCTGAAAATGTGAGTAAATACAAAAAATTAGGAGAAGAAAGTGATATGAGTTCATTAATAAAATTGATGTGACAACTTTATTGGAAATACAAAACATCAGTTTTTAAATTGAATTGTGTTATTCTATATAGATCATGAATCAAAAAGTATTCAAGTGAAAATAAATACAAAGCCAAATTCATCCAGTTTTACAGTAATCATATGTCTAGTGTTAAGTTTAAACATTTTGTAAATGTCAATTATAATTCATGTAATACAAATCACATGTATATCCTATTTACATAGTGACAAAATACTAAGCTACAATTGAACCATTTGGAACTTATATGTTTAGAACTGAACTTTATTTATTTTAGTTTATTCTAAGTTATCATGTCTCAAAAGGTATTACTAAAATATTTTTAGTTATACATTCTTGTTTCGCCAAGCATCCATTTAACTATATTTAAGTGACTAAATAACATTAATCAGTTGCCTCTAATGAAATAAATGCTGATTATGAAATCTGAATATGTTACCTTTATGTAGATAGGTAGATAAAAGGTGATAACAGTAAATGTGTTTATTATCTTTCATATTTAGTGAAGCCAATTTTTACTATTTTATTGCTACCAAGCAGAATTTGGCAAGAAAAATTCTCTGTAAAATAGTGAGTATTTTAGACATTGGCTTTCTCAGTCTGACTCTCCAAATATTCTTGTAGAAAAAAATGAAAAAAATTCCCAATGCTTTGTTTGCCAAAGCGAAAATCCTAAAAGAAGATAATAACTTTCTGATTTGGTTTAAGCCTTTTACTAATAATTTTCTTAATAATTTCTAAATCTCCTCTTAATTTAATTTTTTAACATAAAGAGAATGAAGGGAAAATATTGTTTAGCCCTTCAAAATTATAGTGATATAAATCTTGGCTTACCTAATGGAATAAATAGTCAAGAGATTTAATCTTAGTATTCTCTAGTAGCTAAAGCAGGTATTTCCCAACTTCATTTTTGGAATGAAAACTTGGTATATTTAAATAATTTGCTACAACAAAATATTTCATACAATACACTGGTGGAAATCTGGTTGTGACATTCAGTTCTATTAAAGAAACAATCAAATACATGAATTAAACTCATTCATTTACATGAATTTAACTCATTTAATTTTCTATAATGTAAATTAATTAATGAAAATGTGCACTGAACTAAATCATGATGCAACTCAAAGCAATATGTTAAGGAGTCTAAAAGTAACAAATTTGAACATGGTCCACTTTATGTGTTTTGGAATAGTACAGAAATCATAAAATACCCTTAAGCTGTGACATATACCCTCCTGTACATATATGACAGGAAAGGGCATGAATGTTTATTATGCAGGAAAAGAAAATTGTCAGTGACACTATTATGAATATGCCTTCCATTCAACAGTATATTATGAAAAATTATTCATCCAAAGATGAAGATCAATCTTTTCTTTCAGATAAAAAGTATGTGAGCATTTCCACTCTAAATATATACTTCTCTCTTGTACTTCCCTGATCTCACATTTTTGCTAGAAAAACTATAAAGTCATGAGCCCTGAATGGCAAATCTTTTTACCCAGGTCTCTTTTGGAATGTCACTCATCTTCTTTGGGCATCCCTGTAAGATCTTCCTCTCCATCTTTCCCTCCTTCTGTGGCATCATTCTGCTCTTTTCCTGAATTTCTTCTTTGTCACTGATCACATGAATAATCTGCTTTATGTTGTCTGTTTTGTACCTCTTTCCTATTTACCTCCTTCATTTTTGCTTTTACTGAATTAAAAAGTCAGAAAAATTGCTGATTTAGACACTAATTTTAAATTTTATTTAAAAATACAGATTTTGAAATTATTTAAATTAAAAAATGTTACCTAAAATCATAAAGCACCTTTAATAAGCATTATCATATTTTATAATTTTAACAACATGACTATCACTACATTTGCATTGGTAAAATTAGGTGATGTTATTTTGCCATTATATTTTTTCCAGAAATTGTTTTCTTTTTCCATCTAAAAATTTCAGTGTAGGTATGCCTTAGTAATTTTATGCATTCTACTCATACAATATTATTTCATAAATTTTTATAATATATAACAATACTTATAATACAATTATATAAATGCATGTAATAAATAAGAGACCTATAAAAAGGCAATAGAAGGGACATATTATCATCCCACAAATGTATTTCCCCTGCATATTTAATATTTCTATATAACCTTTATGCACACACACACACAAAAGCAGTTCAAGCAAAAATGTTGGCTATGCAAATGCTATAATAAAGAGTAAATAAAACTTAATTAGATTAAAATAATAACAAAACATATTCTATAACAGGGTCCAAAATTACAGTACTACCACCTGTCTCTGGGTATCCCAAGTAATTTGTCACTCTTCCCTTAAGAAGCTCCAGTAAAAGATAATTAAGGAAAAGTTTCTATTTACAGAAGGAAGCATTGAAATCACAATAAAATGTTAATCTCTTTATTCTTAAAATAAAACTTATTTTTTCTCTAGAATGTGTAAATTAATTATGGAATTAAGGAAGGGTTTCCTATCAGTAATAACTTTTCACTTTATAGATGGGCATGTGTAAGAGAGAAGAAGGGAGGAAGAGAGAGAACAGGAAGGGCAAGAAAGAACAGAGGGAGGTTGGGGAATGGCAGGAGATAAAAATGATAGATTTTCAAATATGCAATTAAATGTAACTGGTTATTAGTGGTAATGGATTACACAGTCCCCTTCAGAAGTCACTTGCAACTCTTGAGTCTGTATATTACTAAAATGTTTTGTGGTCAAAATCAATTTTTCCTTCAGATTTTACAACCTATAACTGTTTATTTTGTTGCAGGAACCAATTCATTATTCTTTGTGTTTGAAAACTATCTATGTTCTTTAAGAAAAGCTGACCTAATAAAGTGCATTTGTAAGCCTTAAGTAAGAATCAGATGAGTTCTCATATGAACTTGTTCCTATGCAATTGCCAGAAAACAGAACATGTTTAAAGAAAAAGAAAAGTAAATGAAAAGTTTCCTTTGTAAGATCTGTAGCATTATCTTATTGTAGCATTAAGCAACTATGTCTACAAGTTGCCAACACACTTCAACTAAACATAGCAATTTCACTTTTACAACCAATGTGACAACTGAGTTAATTTTAGTTCATAAACCCAGAGATCTCATCATTTAAAGTAACATTGTGAGATAGTGTTACTCAGTAGAAGTTATTTGCAAAACGAAAAGCAGTAGTACTGTTTTACAAAATGTTTTGCTCTTTTTAATTTGGTTATGGTGATTTATTGGTTAGTATGCTAATCTCATATGCCAAATGTGTACTTTCCTGAGATTTAACAAAGCTGTGGATGGAATGAACACTAAGAAGACTAATTCACAGACATTGAAAAAGTAAAATAATCCTGAATATAGTTTCTCTTATGTTTTACTCAAAGCATTGGATACGATTTGCTTTTGATGTGCAATCTGGCAATTATTCTCCAATGTACTCCCAAACTATGATATGAAGGTGTCACAATTACAAAGAGGGAAGCTGATCCTCATCATTTGGGATCCAATTGTTTGCATGGGGAGTAGTAGGCAGAACTAAGAGCATCCTCTCTAGAAAATCTACCAACTTCTCCATCAACCTTCAACCCAGTCCCACACCAACATTTCAAGCTCCACATTACCCTATACAGATAAGCCAAAAGGGATAGTTCCAGGAAACTGATATCTGTCCTCGTCCTTTAAAAAAATATGACCTGTTTATTTTACTATATGCTTCAGGGAGCTTCTGAATAACTGGTATGAGCACACTTTCTTCTTGAACTTACATATACGCACTAACACACACTTCCTACAACAACAAAAACAGCAACACACGTCCTCACACACTATCACAACAGTCACACGGGATGGGGATTGAATCACCCTCTGGGATGGATTTTACACTGCTGACCCCCTGCATCCCCCAAATGCTGTGTTCAGTGATGCCAGCTTTGGAGCCCAGTTTACAGCTCAGCCAGCCAGACACCACTACCACAACCACCACCTCCTGCACACCCCTAGAAAGCCCTTGGTGTCCCTCTTCAAGAGAAAACCTATCTGACCCGTACAGCCACAAAAGAACAGGAAAGAAAGCCAAATAGAGAAATTAACAAATAACCATCAGCATCCAAAAGCCATGCAAGATGTGGGCAAAAAGCTAGAAAGTTTAGTAGAGGACTGCAAACTGAAGTGTTTGAGGGACTTTATTAGACCCAAGTCCTGAACGCGGACTAGAAGAGAGCAACAGTCAATGAGTTCTTCTAGTCCTCTTTCCCCCACGGATTTACAGCGTGGAGGCAAGCTAGTTAAGATTAACTCTCTACAGACAAAGTTGGATGAGCATGACGAGACATGCAGAAGAGGGCAAAGGGGTCAGAGTAAGTAATGATTCAAGAAAAGAATGTCTCACCTAGCATTGGTGCAATCGGTGAACAAAGTTTCAAAGTCTTTCCTGGTTATAAGTTTGCAGCGGTTCACTCCGGGCTGAATGGCCCCCAGCCCGCGGAGGATCCGGACCTGCTCGACAGTACACACTACCGGGGATATGTCCAGTCTCTTCAGCTTGGTGTACACCGTGTGCAACCCTCCCACCAGGTGCTTGAGGAAAAGATCAAAGACTTGCGGTAGGCAGATCAGTTCCTGACCGTCCATCAGGAATGAAGCCACCTTCACCCCGTGCATGTCGACCATCCGGCACTCGTTGGTGTTGGTGTTGCCACTGCCTCCACTGCCGCTACCGAACCCGCCACCGTTGTGGCTATTGGCCACGAAGCTGTTGATTATATTAGGGGTGAGGCGAGCGGACTCTCGCGGAGTTGAGCACTGTGGTTCGGCTCGAAATAAACCCCCCAGGACACTGGTGCCACTGGACGTTGCAGAGATCACCGGAGGTGCCGAGACAGCCATGGTCACTCCGTTTTTTTATCTTGGGTTCTCGGGCCCTCGCTTTCTCGCCCCAACTCCTTTAAGTCCTGGCACTCGCACTCCTTCACCCTCACTCCGTCTGTGGCTTGTTCTAGCTTTCTCTGAACTATTCACAAGTCCCCAGCAGCCCGGCGTACGCTGAAGCTCGCCCACCACCCAGCGTACAGTGAGCAGCCGGGACTCGCGGGCGGCCTGAGACCCCACCTTCAACACACCCCCTCTGGAGACTGGCAGCGGACCCCAGCCAATGGGCCCCAACCCCTCGGCGCCTGAGAGATCCGAATGGCTGCCGCTGATGAGGAGGTGGAGACTCCCTTGCCGGCCTCTGACCACCTGAGGCAGTTCAGCGCTCTCTGGAGCTAAAGAGGCAGTGTGGTGCTTAGCTTTTTGCCTTGCTGTCTGAGGAGAGACCGTCCATTTGTTACACAAAGCGCTCAAAGTAGACTATGCTACAAATCCATCTTCTCCGAGACCCACTAATATAAAGTGAGGAATTCAAAGCAGGACCTAATCCTCCTCCAGCCACTTCGCACCCAAGTTCCTTCTAGAAAAGTACGGTGGCAGCTACAATTCCACGTACACGTTGCTCCCAAACTCTGCAAGAGCTAATGAGTGGCTTTGCCCGGCTTCCAGAAGAAAGATTTTAGTGAGCTCGCAGGTAAACCAACGCAGCTCCTCGCCAGCCCACCTAGCATTTTGGGGTAAATTCTTCAAGAGCCAGTGCTGGCAGAGTGGAAGGGGCCTCGAGCTCAGTCAGGTCAGAGTTGCTGGTCGCGTTAACCCACTCCTATGCTCTTTCAGGGAGCCAGGTAAGCCCATGAATATTTGGGGAACTAAGACTCGGTTTGTGGGCTCAAATGGATGCTTTATTTTATAGCATTTCCACCACTGTCCTGGAATAGACTAGGCTTTGTGTGTCCCTATCCTTCCGTCTCAGGACTGTCCTGCCTTAACCTACCCTCCGCCAACATTTATTGTAAAATTTCTTTAATATCTCAAAACAGCCATTACAGAATATGAGGGCAAGGCGAAGGTTTGCACTCTTAAACGTGGTATTTCCCTCTCTCTCTTGTGAGCTTTGAACGTCAAATGATTAGGGCTCCATGTCCTAAAGGGTAGTTTAAGGTTCCTTTTCCCCCTTTTAAGTGCCACAAACTTACTAAGAGTTTACATTGAGGAAAATATCTAAACAGGGTACATTCCAAGGGAAAGGTACGTTCTTCCACACAACATAAGGCGGTTAGATGCCCAATTCAAAGTTGTATAAAGGAGCTTTAATCAAACCTCCTTTCCTGTACTTCTCTCCTCTGGAAGGTCGTAGTATTTCAGAAAGTGAAATCCAGTCATTTCTTTTTTTTTTTTTTTTAAGCTTTAATTGAGTTTATTGGTACATTTAGGGATACAGTACAGTTACATTCATTGTTGGGATCTTGTACCTCTACATGACAAGTCTTGATTCTCATTTTTTCCCCTTACCTCTGCCCTCCCTTCACCCCCTCCTCCCCTCCCCATCTACAAACACTTTATTTTCATCTTTTCATTCTCTCACATTTTTTTTCTTTTCCCTTTTTACTCTTCCCCTACCCATCCCACCTTCCCTACACCTTTAGCTCCTTTCTTCCCATTTCTAAATGTCAGTAATCTTATTAGAATCTTATGCATTGTTGCAGATTATTCACAACAGGGAAACTATTCGGTATTTACACATGTGTGACTTATTTATTTCACTTAGGAGTATATCTTCAAAACGTTACCAACTACATAGCTAAGGCAAGTCCTCTGACATTCTTTTAGAATATAAATATTTTTACAAACTGAGTGAATTTGATTTTTCCCTAATTCCACTTAGCAATATCAAAGAGGAGGAGTGTGCCTAAGATATTTGTGCTCCTTTAATAAGTCATAAATGTGCTAAATTGGATGTCTCTTTATTTTTCTAGAAAATATTTTCTCCTTTGCCACTTCATCAACCATGTATTCACTTCTCTTTGGAGGGTGAAGATGATACGATAGGTAGATGTATGGAAATGTCACAGTGAAGCCCATTAATGTGTACAATTACTGTGTCAATAATTTTAAAAAAACCTCCCTTTGAATCCTATTTCAATTTTAAATTGTATGAGGTCAAAATGCTAAGGTGTTATGGTGAAAGCTGCTTTTCTAATACAGCAATAAATTACTCTAACACAATAAATGGAAATGTATGAAGCCACAAAATATTTTTAAAGGCATCAAATTGTTTTTGCTGTGTTACTACAGTTGTGAGAAGAAAATAAGGTGCAAAGAAGGCCAATTGTGAAGAGAGTGGAAGCAGAAAAGCTTCAATGCAAAGCAGTGGTTCTCAAAAACACAGCAAAGACAAAAATGCATAAAATTTAAAAAAAAAAGAAACTTCCAATTTCTTCAACAGGTGTTTTGACAGAAACGGCCATTAAACTATATGTTGAAATAATTCACCTCAAAATGTATTGTGATTAAAATTTCCAGGTGAACACTTTTGATGTATAGGAAAGTGTTATTTCAATTAACTAATTGGATTAAAAATCCAAAGCATAAACTGCTCCCTGTGCATAGAAGTACCCACCTTATCTATATCTTTTTATTCATGGAGTTATTTGGTGTCTTCAGTAATAGATTATCATGTAAATATTTTGATGTTTCAAATTTAAGAAATTCTAAAATAAAATAAGGAAAGATAGTACGTTCATTTGGGCTGTAATTATTTTTACATTGAGAACAAACATACTTTGAACATTTTAGAAGCATGAATTAAATGTCATTATTTAATGTTCTCTGTGAGAATTACAGTAAAAGTTTAATTATTAACAGAAATTAAAGTTCAAATGCTAGTGGAAATCTTAGGGACTGAAATTGGCCAGTGATCATTGAAGGGCTAATGTCCCTTACACACTTTTAATGAACAAAAGACCCTTAGTTTCATTACTAAAATTCTTCCCTTTGCAGTTCTGTAGAAAATAAATTTAATAATTTGCTGATGTGATACTTGTAAATTTTAAAATTTCATCATCTAGATCTCAGATTCTAGATGTTTTCTTCTTAGGTTCTTTTTATCTTTTGATTAGTCTATTTTTTTCTCATTGAGTTTATTGGTCCATTTTAGGTATAAAGTACAGTTACATTCATCATTGGGATTGTACCTTTATTTTTATCTTTTGATTAGTCTATTTTTTTCTCATTGAGTTTATTGGTCCATTTTAGGTATAAAGTACAGTTACATTCATCATTGGGATCTTGTACCTTTACATGACAGCTCTTGGTTCTCATTTTTCCCCATACCCCTGCCCTCCCTTCACCCCCTTCTCCCCTCCCCATCTACAAACACTTTATTTCCATTTTTTCATTTTCTCTTATTTTTTTCTTTTCCCTTATTTCCTTTCCCCTACCCCTCCCACTTCCATTACATCTTTAGCCCTTTTCTTCCAATTACACTCTATTTCTATTACTGCTATTTCTCTTATCATTCATTTTTTGAAATTAGGACAATCAAATTCCACATGGAAAGTTTGTTTTTATCCCTTTCTGACTTTAATGTCTTCCACAAGCCAAATATATTTCTAAATAAGGATAGATTTCTATTAGGACAGAGGAAACCTTGTATATCAATACTCTGTGAGTTTGGAAATGAATGAAGCAATATAAAATCATAAAGGCTGCAGTAAAAAGGGTACACTTGGAAGATGAGAGGCATTGAAGTAAAACTAAGAAAATATTCAACGTTTGACAATTAATACCAGACAAGAGCTAACCACCACAACACTGAAATGATACCAGCTTTCTAGCCTTAATTAGCAATTTACATTTTTTCAAATGTTATTTGGAAAACACTTCTTAGGAGGCAAGAAGGGAGATTGGGTAAACTCCTATAAAATCACTTTAAAATCATATAGTGGGAGGCAGTAGTTAATGAAAGTAAAAGGGAGGGTGGCTTGTACTTTCAATTTGGAAGGGAAGGTGTTCATCTCTGCATTTAGGCAAAATTTCAACTTTGACATAATGAAATGAAGACACAATTTTAAATATATATGCATATGCATTCAAGCCTATGGACTACAAAAATCCAGTTATTTGAAGGGGCTGATTTTCAAAATGAGTGTTCAAGCAAACTCCAAGATAATAAAAGGAGTATTTGAAGCCCTCAGCCAACTGAGGTAGTATCCTCTAATATGGCCTCTAATCAGAAGCTACTGGGAGCCCTCTAAGATCCATTTTTATTCTTATTTATGTATTTGCTACCAGGGATCGAACTCGGGACCTTGTGCCTGAAGAGGCAGGCAGCAGAACTACTGAGCTAAATTCCCAGCCCTCTAAGGTCCATTTTTAGACAAACAATAAAAGGAAATCATTGGGCAAGGCAATAAATGTGAAAGAAAGCATTTATAAAACTGATGAGTTAACTGGCTAAAGTCTCACTCGATATTTTCTAGGAAACTTTCTTAAAAAGATCTTATTGACATTTTTTAATTTTAGTTACAATATTGAATTGAAGATGAATTGCAAGGGAATGATGGAGAAGAGGGAACATCAGAGCAAGAGAATTAGTCAACACCCAAAGAGTAATGTTTAAAATCAGATGCTTACAGGAAACTAAATGTTTTCTAATGGAAATACAAAAAATATAATTCTCAAATTACTCATTAAAGGCTAGGGATTTAGCTCAGCGGTTCGGTGGCCTGCCCGAGTTCAATTCCCGGTAACAACAACAACAAAAAAAATTGCTCATTAAATATAAGCACTTGCCAAATTTTAATCTATGATGCAATATGCAGTATTGTCTTAGACAGGGAGATGCGTTTCTTTTAAATACTATGTCTCTCAATGCATTATCTCCTTTCAAAACTTAGGGGATTTTTGTTTTTATTTATTTTATTATTATTTTTCCTTGCAACAGTGGGAGCTGAACTCAGGCCTCAAGAGTACTAGACAAGTGGTTCTACTACTATGCTATATCCCCAGGCCTTTGTCTTTCTTTTTTTTAAGACAGAGTACATGTTTGCAATACATAATGTTTATGTTCCTTGTGGGGAATTGGTACACGTACATGATATATCTTAATGGTTTTTATTCCCTTAACCTTCCTTTTTTTCCCCTTTCATCTATCACTTGACCCCCTTCATTTTACTTTTTTGTACATGACTGCAATACATATTGTTTACAATCCTTGTATGGGGTTGGTATATTCACATATAAACCTTATTTCCTTTTTCATCTCTTTCCTTTTCCTCCTGCAACCCAAGCATCTCTTGATCCCCTTCCCAATTGGAAAAACTCTATCTCTCTACTTCCTATCATATACCTTTTATTTTGCTCTTATTTATATTTTGTATTTCTCATGTAAGAG